AAGTAACTGACAAACCATAGCTCTGTATATTGCTTACTGTAAACCTGATTTCAACCCCCTGCTTCTTTTAGCCTGTCAAATGCAGATAGGCCCTTGCATAATTTTTGCCAGTAGCTCCTTTACTTTCCAATACTCTAAGTTTAAAAGTCAATTCTACTTCCTAGAAATACTGTTACAGAGGTAGTAGCATCCACGGGGTGTCTATGGCGAGGTGCTGGCAGCGGGGGGCTCTGCAGGGGCAGTGTCTGTGAGGACAGGCAAGGGCTGCCCCGTGCAGGACACAGAGTTGGCATCACTACCAGCAGCCCCACCACAGGGCACAGATGAGCCTTCCAGCCACTGGTGAGGGCTTTGGGGAAAGTCTGCATAAGAAAGGGCAAAACACGGCTGGGCAGTGAGGAAAAAAAAGCATGAGAAACAGTCCTGCAAGCACCAAGGTAAGAGAAGAGAAGGGGGAGGAGGTGCTCCAGGCATGCCAGCAGAGATTCCCCAGCAACCCCTGGAAAAAAGATCACAGTAAAGCAGTTCACCCCTTGCCTGTGGAGGAACCTGACTGAAGCTGGCAGATATGCCCTGGGGAAGCTGCAGCCCACAGAGAGCCCAGGCAGCAGCACGCCTCTGGTAGTCATGGCACGTACCCCGGGAGGGACCCATGCTGGAGCAGACTGTGTCTGAAGGACTGCAACCCCATGGAGAAGATCCAGGCTGGAAGCAGCTCTTGGAGTACTACAGCCCATGGGGAGGCCCCCAGCTGGAGCAGGGGAACAGCATGGGGAGACAGGAATGGCAGGGAGAAGGTGTTATGGGCTGACCCCAGCCCCTCTTTGCCATCCTCCTGCACCACTCAGGGGAAGGAGGTAGAGGAGTGAGGGATAAAGGAGTGAAGCTGAGCCTGGGAAGAAGGGGGCTGGGAGGAAGGCAGTTTTAGTTTTCTCTTTGTTTCTCATCATCCTACTCTATTTTTAATCAGCAATAAATTAAATTAATTTTCCCCAAGTCAAGTCTGTTTTGTCCATGATGGTAATTGGTAAGTGATCTCCCTGTCCTTATTGTGACCCACAAGCTTTTCCATCTTACTTTGTCCCATGTACTGTTGAGGGCTAGCAAGAGAGCAGCTGGCTAGGGATAGGGCAGCCAGCCAAGGTCAACTCACCACAATGAAATAAATAAAACAACCCATCCAAAACTATATCCCACAACCCTCCTCCGACCTTTTTATGTCCTTTCAAAGGACACAGAAACAGAAACAGGGACTCAATGAGGCCACTACCCTCCCTCTGACTCTCCTAAAGCTGCACTTTGGCACAGTCAGCTTCCTGACTGGGAGCCAAATGATACTTTTCCTCAAAAAAGAACTCCTGACTCCTCCAATTCTTCTTTTTCATTTGGCTTGTCATCAGCTTCTTAAGCCAAGGCTACTCCCCCAAAAAATCACAGAAATTGAAAAGACAGCATTTTATCTACAGTCATCAGCAGATAACAGTGAAATCAAAGAGCACAAATACTATTTAGTTGCTGGCATTCATATACGTGCATATATATATATATACACACACTCACTCCAAGGTAGGCAATTCAGTATAAATTTTACATATTTTCTTATATATAATATAGCCATCATCTACTCATTTTTGCACAGCCTGACACTGTAGCTATCAGCAATGCCTAATTACTAACCACATAGGACAATTTAACAGTAAATATTGGTTACTGTTTATACTGGGAATGGATGGGCAACTTCACCAGACAGGTCAATGTGACTGAAATCAAGAAAGGTTATGTGAAGTATAAAAGGCTCAACCCTGAAGTAATTTCCTTTGGTTGTTTTTTACAATCAAGTCTAATGACCCATTGTAAAACTATGTTTTGTGAAAGCATTAGACACAATATGGACTAAACTCAATTCAACCTGTGTCACTCATCTCCCTAAGGCCTAAGCTAAAAGCAGACTATACACAAATACTCTGCTTCCATGCCTCCCACCCCCAGAAAGCTTTAATAACATGGGATTTGAGAACTAGCATGTCTAGAATGGTAGGAAAGCCACAAATGCCTGAGCATCTAAGTTCAAAACCAAGAAAAGCAGAATTTCTACATTGAGCAGTTGAAATTTCTCTTTTAAATTACAGAATAATTGTATTATATTGACTCTGTAAACTGTTTATATCCAAGTTTGTACACACAGAGTATATTTTTTAAAAAAAACAGCTTTTAAAGTGGTTCATAAAACACTGACTTTAGCAACCACCATAAAGACATTCTGTGGTTCCTGAAGACAAATCTTCATAGCATTGGGACATGCTATAGAGACTGAGTACCCAAACAGTTTTTAAATTCTGTACAGATATTTTACTTAATGATTTACTTACTTACACTTCAATTATAACCCTGTTATCTCCTAGCTCACAGACATTGCTACTCCTTAGCAATATTTACCTAACATACTATGTCACCACAGCATGTTATCAGGAAACTAAATGCATGAGTAGAAATGGGTGCCCCAATTATGTAACATTTGCTGTAAGCCAGCCTTATAATTTGGGTAATGTGCAGACGAAGCAAGGTTTACTAAAAGGGTTAAATCAGAGTCTTACATGATGAAACAGTTCTGTCTATCAGGAAGACTGACACACCTCTGGCTACAAGATTGTGGCTGTCACTTCAAGAAACCTAACTCTAAGTCTGAGATTGAATTAATTTGTCTAGCTCCTAGTAGGCAGCACAGAGGTTTCAGACTGTAAATTACAATTTCATAATAAAAAGCACCTGAAGATGCCTCCAGTTAAAATACATAGTGGGATACAATATACATATTAATCAGACATAGCCTGCACACAAACACTGCAGTTATTAGAAATCAATCCTGGAAGTGACAGCTTACCTGATAATTAGTAAATTTCCATATGACTCATGATAAAAGTCAGGGTGATATAAAAATGAGACATCACAAGGTTTCTTAAAAATTCTGTTTCTCTTGTGGCTGTTAGTGAGCTAATAAACACAAGCATTGTTCTTTTCCATTTTCTGATGGAAAACAAACTGTACACACACAATACAGTTTAAACTTACTCAATTTAAACATTAATTTGATTCTTTTTTTTTAAACTCTCAGTATAATATTTTGTAAACTTTCAATATGTATACAGCCACACTATACGAGCATACCACCTATGCAACTTTTTCATTTTCTTTTTAAAAAATAGGAGAAGAGAATTGTATCATACAACTATGGCAGATAACTAACCTAAAACTTAGTAATATAAGCTGGATCTTAATTCAGAATTTGTGTTTAAACTCCTGCCCCACAACCATCTCTGCCTCCTGAACCCATTTGTGGCTTCAGAAGTTGTTGCTAAGGATGTAGGCTTATGAAGAAAGAAGGTTATATTTAATTTGGTTTTACATACATGAATTTAACATTTTACCATGTATCTATTTTACAGTATAAAATATTCTTAACCAACAGTCCTGTTACCTACAGTATTTTACTTTACTTGAATAATATAAGTTCACAGTTAGACTCTCTCATAAAACACAGTGAAAAAGAGCATCACATTCTGCCTCATTAGTAGATTCCCAAATGCAAAGATTAATAATGCATGTTTCATCTCCACATCTGTGAAAATTATTTTTCAGAATTATATCAATATGTAAAATGCAATCTTAAAAACAATTAAATGAAAAAAAAATATTAACAGTTCCTACTAGACTGTCTGCTTTCCAATCATATAAAATTCAGTCATAATATCTTAGTAACTAAGTTATCAAAAAATGTGGAGTCAGTATAAACATTACAAAGCCCATTTTTCTAACAGGAGGGCAGGCTGACCCAGGTTATCATCTTACTCCGATAAGAATACATAAAATTCTGGAAAACCAGATAGTGATCTGAAATACTGTGCTGTTGTAAAAATCATGAAGCATCCTTGTTTCCAACACATTGTCATAAACACTACAATGTTTCTGGGAAAACATTTTGGCTTATTAATAACAAATATGAATATGCTGAATATGTTTATGCTTTGTTTGTACACTATGGTAGGTTGAACCCCACAAAAATAGATGCCATAAGGAAAGGATAAACTGGGAAAGGTTCTGGTTGGAAGTACATAAAAGTTTCATTTTTGAAAGCATTCAAAGCAACATGAAATCTTAAGGCCCTCCAACTACAAATTCTAGAAGTCTTACAGCACACTACACAATTCCTTGATAGAAGCTTTTCTTTTTCTTCCACAATTCTACAGTTCCTACACTTTCATGCTGTACTTCAAAAACATCATACCCAACTAAAGTTACATGTAATGTCTTGTGGACCAGACACTTGTTTATATATTGAAAGTACAGACTATTAAAGTAAACCTTGTAATTTAAAGCTTCATGGAACAGTAATTTTTATGGCCTGATAAGTAATGGAGACAAACTTAGGTAACCCAGAAAGATCCAGACAAATGTATTTATTTAACAGCAAATGTTTACTAGTCAGGCTGCAGAACAATACTGTTTTTTCCCTCCTTTGCTGCAAAGTACTGTGTGTACACACACATGAACACAGCCTGAGAGAACAAGGAATACAGTTACAAAACAACATTAAACCAGTGGATAATTTATCTGTCCTGCTGAGGAAAGCTCAGGGAGGAGAGCCAAGACATCTAAAAAGAAAACACGGGAGGACTAAAAGTAAGAAAAGAGAGGTACAGCACTGAATCAAGGTAGCACAGATACTTTAAACAATGCTCTACACCCACCAATATTGATACAACTAATGATTTCTTCAAGTCTCCGCAGGACATTTACTTATGAGTCCAACAGGCCACAGGGCTCCTGCCAGAAAAGATCTCTGAAATTACCACTTACAGCAAGTGTACACAGCAAAGCATAGCACTACCCAAACATTGAGCTAGAGGAGAAAGCAAGCATTAGGTTGACAAAGGATGTAATAGCGGCACATCCACTAGCTCATCCTTCAGACTAGCTGCAGTTATTTCAAGGGTGATGCTTACCTTTAATAGTTTCCTCCACAACTTCTACTACACGATCTATCTGCTGAATTTGCTGAACCTAAAAAAAGTCACAAGATCAATATCTAAGCAGTCAACAATTGGTCATATTTTATATAAATTATTATTTCAAAAGCGTGTTCTCCTGGATTAAGGGGGAATAAAGTGTTTGAGGTTATGTTTTTAGAAAGGTTTTGGGGTTTTTTTGCATCTTGGTTCATGTGTCAAAAGTAACTCTAAAACTCACCACCCAATTTAAACCAAATTTTATCCTCAAAAATAGCAAGTTCCTGTGTTAAGTTTGGCAAAAATCACCAAATGGCTAGAAAAGAGGGACCCCAGAAAAAAAGTTCAGGCCTGAGCTGCTCTTCATGGTCTGTGAAAAGAAGCGGGTACCCAGACAGTCAGCACCTGGGCTACTAAAAAAACAGCCTCTAAGTGCTTCCTCACCCTATTCTCAATACCCAAATATTTGTAGATGGTAGAGAACATAACAAGAAGCTGAGGATATTGTGAAGGCAGGCTATAGGGGAGGAAATTAAGCAGCAAGCTAAACAGCACAAGTTGCTGAGGCTTCAAGAGAAGAACCTGATTTGTAACAAGGAGTCTAATCCCTGGCATTAAAGCCATCAAGTCTCTGTGCCCTTAAATCACTGAGTTTGCAATTTCCTGTAAACACACATCTGCAAAATCATCTCTGCTTCACATTCATTTTCCAGTTGGTTTAATAGCAGCTAAAAAAAAGCTCATCTATTGTTGGTATATGATATAGTTCCCAACTAAAGTCAGTGGGAGGCTGTTCCTTTTCTTGTATGGCTGTTGGACCCAGATCATGTAAAACTACATTTTTAATATATATTTTTAAAACAAACTTGTGAAATGCGTGTTACTAATACATATTTTCTAAACACATATTTGCCAATAAGCACAGCACACACAATAAGCAGTTGTGTGAAATACGTGTGTATTTATATACTTCAGTGCATATCCCTTTCAGGTATAAGTTAAACAACTATGTCCTAGAATACTTACATGCAGGCTACTTAATTAAAATATATAAACAAATGCAACTTGGAAATGGAAGTATATACATTATAGATACAGAGAACACTGTCTGTGCCAAATACATTGCCTAAAACATTATTGTTAAATATTTCAATACTAAACTGTTTACATTCATAATAATTTTAAAACAAAAGAAATCTGGTTGGTTCATGTACTGTACATCTGGATTATTTTTGCATAGCTTCAAATCCCCTATTAAGTAAAGAGGCAGAAAAAACAAAACAAACACCAACAACCAGCATGCTTGATTTTAATTTTATTGGTTAAACTAAGTTATTCTGAGTATGTCTGTCAAGAAGACAGTTCATGTGTGTAATTAAAATTATAGGTCTAAGAGATGAGATCTGCAAATAGAAATTAATGTTTATTCTGCCTTATGTGTTCTCTCCCTTATTGAGTATTTTTAATTTGAAATTATTGGAAAATGCTTGGCTAAAGCCCTAAGTACTCATGAAGAAAATACAGAATGCTTCCAATCTTCATTTATGAAGATAAAAGTATTTTAGCAAAACTGAGGCGAATCTTGATCGAGAAGAGGGCAAGGTTTAGAGGATTTTTGTTTGAAAAAGAAGGGGGAAAAAAAAAATAATCACAGAGTCATGGTAATAACATTTTCAAGGTTATACAGACACCTGAAGGATTCCTTTCCTCACACCTCACTAACCTAACATAATTTTGTTCTGGAGTGGTATCAAAGGCATCTATAAACCTTCTCGGGCAGAGACTCAATAATGTCTCCAACACAAAGCCTATGAAGCACAGAGGCTTCAGAGTTCTTAGTGGTATATGAAGGGAAAAACACCATCCCCCAATGTTTGTTTGCAATGAGTCTCAATAAACCAAGCCTTCAGGACTGACAGCAGCAACATTACTGCTGAATATAGCTTGTGCATCATAGTCGGCTCCACAGACCTGGCAACATCTTCTTTCTAGTATAAGTATGTAGATGGTGGACTTTTTGCCCATTACAAATGGTTCTCTATTAGGACTTGAATAGAAAAAAAGCCAAGGGCAGACTGGACCAGGCAGCTGAGGAAGAGTACACACAGAAAAAAAATAAAAAATCCAACCACCACAAATCAGGGCTGATGCAGAAGTGTGGGATGAAATGGATATAGAACGAGAGTACAGGCACGGCTCCTGGGATGAAGGATCAGCCAAAGCAGGACACTGGCTGGTCAGAAAGCAAGGAGAAAGAAGAGAGTTGTATCAAAGCATGAAGCTTGAGTTAAAACAAAGATCAGATAAAAAAATCTCTGGGCCTCCCTGATGGGATCAGGGCTAGGCAGAAGTACAGCTCAGCAATCATATATATCCTGTCCTCATACACACAATGAACATGTGAGTCAATCCATGCTGGTGCCAAAGCTACAAGTCACTCCTGAACACACATTTGTCAGATAGTCATACTTCAAATCACAGATCCCCAACACTCCACTGAGAAACAGAAGCCATGAGCTCTCCAACGAAGCACAAGTAATTAGCAAGAGCAGTACAGAAATGCACACACACTCCACTTGCCATCTGCCCCCAGTTCCCTTTGTACTATTACAATCACATTCAACAGGTGACTGCTAGGTGTAACCAGTCCAAAGACATATTTGTAATGTGCCATGGCTGCAGTCTCACACCAGGTGATCTGTGAGTGCAGACAGACATGCATGTTGAGGATGCCCACACAAATTCTTCCAAGCTCTCAAACAAGATCCAAGTTGTCTCAGAACCAGTATTAACACCCTGAAAATGTTTTGCAGGGAAAGGACTCTAGAGAAAACATCTATGGGAGTTCCAATAAACTCTGAATACTGGTAACAGGCAGTTAAGAAACAGGATGCACATTTACCCTGAGATTTTGTACTTTGTAGAAATCAGTTGAGTCTCAGACCAAAGAAAGCTATCTAGAAAAGTTCATCCATGAACCTACCATGAGAGTAAGACAAACTTTTTTACATTCTCCTCAGGGAAGCACGAAGACCATTTAGTTTGTTGTTTCCAAATCATAAGATCACAGAATAATTCTGACATGCTATTTGTTCTAAGTGGTCACAGGGATCCACAGCATCTGGCTGACAACTGTTGCTCCTGCTGGGGGACTGGGATTAACCTAGTAGAATCAGTAGCAAATAAAAACAAACCAGAGACAGCGCATGACATCTCTGATACTTGCCATCAGTGTCTGCATTTTGGCCAAAAAGCTCTTGGTTTCACTCTCTGATGATTCTCAGATCTCACAGCCACTGCTTATTAAAAATGGCTGCTAGGTCCTTGTTACAACCAGCCTTCTCAGGGACCCTACAACAGAGTGAATGCAGTTGCTTCCCACAGTCTGCTTCCTTTCAGCACAGAAATGTCTTTGTACCTCAGAAGGTCTGAAGGTTAAAGTGTCTCTGATGCTGGCAGGACAGCGACGAGTTTCTCAATAAATGACTCCCAGAGCTTCACCCTGGCACAGTGACTGAGTTTCCCAGAGAAGAGAATTTCATGGAAGTAACACAAGCAGCATGTAAGCATATAAAGTACAAGAAAGCACCTACTAAAAAAAAAGATCTTGAAGTCAGAGGAGAGAGAAAGATCCAGAAATACTGAAGACTAGAAATGTTTATTGAAAAAAAAATACACTGCAAAAGAGAAAAACAACTTAGTCAATGCTTGAAAGACACTGAGGTCAGGGTATCAAAAATATAGGAATGGGCAGTAACTTGCATCCATGGAATGAGGCTACTGCTGAAGCAAACATCAACTGCACTTACCAAGAACACCCTGGGACTTGAAATACACCAATTTTTTTTTTCTCATCTAGGAGACACTCTGTATATCTTTTAATTCACATAGGTAAGAAAAAAAATTGGTTACTAAATAGCTAATTACAACTCACTATTCGTAATCCTAAAGATTTTTACTCCAGTTCACCAACTCTCAGTTTCATCTCACTTCCCTTTGGCAGCTCTGTCAGATGTTGGATATTACAAGCCTACTCAGCCTAACCCCTCTAAAGCCAGTAAAAGGGAAATACATGGCTTCAAAAGTCACTCCAGATCTTTTAAAAATCTAAAATATCTTAGTGATAATTATCTTCATTGATCATAAAGGGAGCTGAGCAAAACAGACTCTCAAATTACAGCACTTAGGCATCATAAATCCAGGCCTTAATACATAACTTCAAAAGGCATGTGACTGGTCACTTTGGCTGCCAAGGGATAACATACGCGTTTAAAACCTTTGCCGACAACACCGACCATGGTCATGGGCAATGTTCTGGTTTAGGAAGTATTCTAAGAACAGACTCTACACAAACTTTAAAGGGCAA